ATGCCCCCGGAAAGACAGAAACAGGAAGCTGGATGCTGATTTCTGGTTGCTGGTTGCTGGTTTCTGGTTGCTGGTTGCTGGCTGCTGGCTGCTGGCTGCTGGTTGCTGGCTGCTGGATGCTGGCTACTGGTTGCTGGTTGCTGGCTGCTGGTTGCTGGTTGCACGCCTCCGCCGTTCGCTGCGACCCTCCAGGGTTTAACATGTCATAACTGGGTTTGTCTCCCAGTTAGCCAAGCTGAACTCAGGAAATGTGATTGTGTTGAAATGGAGGCAGAACCGGGCAGATGGGTTTCGTCTCTGTCTGTATTTTTACCGCTTGACGAGTACAGTGACCCGTGCAGCCGTCTCTCAGAGGCTGGAGGTGTTGAGTGGGTAACACGTTGTGAGGATGTGTTTGTCTCTCTGCAGAGTGATCTGTGGTCGCTCGGCATCACAGCCATAGAGATGGCAGAGGGAGCTCCACGTAAGTGAGATTACACTCCCATCAGCTGCACAGTTTGTCTCCAATAATTCACTCCTAAAGATACTAATTTTACATTTTCACTTTTCATTTTTCATTCATCAAATCTTACCTTTTCTCTTTACTTTTCTATTTCACTTTGTTTCCTTTCCTTATCATTCTTTCCCTCCCATCTTTTATGTTTCTTTCCTTGCCATCATTTCTTTTCTTTTACTTAAATACTTTATTTTTAATGCCTCATAATCATATCTGTTTCTGTCTGTGCATTTTTTCTCTTTCCTTTTCTTATTTGTGTTGTCATTTCCTGTTTCCTTTCCTTTCCTCCTTCTCTCTTCCTCTCCTCTCTCCTTGCCTCCTTTCCTCCTCAGCTCTGTGCGACATGCATCCGATGAGAGCGCTCTTCCTCATCCCCAGAAACCCGGCGCCGAGGCTCAAGTCAAAGAAGTGGTAAGTCTCTTAAAAGCGTTGCAGAATTTGAACTTTCCTCGCGGATCCTGAACTGGGTCGGTTCTGCAGGTCCAAGAAGTTCCAGTCGTTCATCGAGAGCTGCCTGGTGAAGAGCCACAGCCAGCGGCCGAGCACCGAGCAGCTGCTGAAGCACCCCTACATCCGAGACCTGCCCAACGAGCGCCAGGTCCGCATCCAGCTGAAGGACCACATCGACCGGACCAAGAAGAGGCGGGGCGAGAGAGGTGAGGCTCTGATCGACCCGCCACGACCCACTTTGACCCGCCACGACCCACTTTGACCCACCGCGACCCACCACGATGCACCACGACCCGTCACGACCTGCAGAGCCTCCAACGCTAACATGTCGGTTTCCTCACAGATGAGACGGAGTATGAGTACAGCGGGAGCGAGGAAGAGGATGAGGAGCGGGACATCGGAGAGCCCAGGTAGGAACGAAGTCTGGATCTGATGCAGAAAAACATGGCACCTTTCCTCAGATTACAGCCAAGAACTAGATTAAACCAGGGCGTTACAAAGTTAAGATGTTAGCAACGTTAGCCTAGCTAGCATAACTTACTGCACACAGCCGTCTCTGGGAGTGTGAATAATGTAAATAATCATCTTTAAATGGCCAGTATTATGTGGTTTTGGTTAAAATCCCCATTTCCAATCAGAAAGAAGCTGCAGACTGATGATCTCCTTCATTTGGCTCAGACACTGAGAAAAATGGGAAACAAAGTATTCATGAATGTTTATGACTGTTGTCATGAAGTGTCATTCTGTAAATACTGATACTTTTAATGCGAAGTTGGCATTTTTAATGAATTTTTAATGGACTTTTAGTTCAACATTCCAGTAAAAGTGTCATTAACAGTCAGACATTCATGAAGACTCCACGTTTTTGACAGAATCATGTCAGTTTAATTCACAACCCTTCAAATAAAGTGTTACTGAAACATGAGTTGCTTTTTTGTGACACCCTCAGAAAAACATTGCACGTTTTTTGGATGGACTGATTAAATAACTGATTAAAATAGAAACTCAGGGATCAACTGATCTAAAAACACAAACAACAGAAGTCAGTGAAAACTGAACTCCGATTGAATCCAGCAGTCAGTTTGACTGTCGGATTCAGACGCGATTAATGCAGGAAAAATCAGGCGGTAAAGTTCGCACACCATCACTAACAATAGTATAGTATTTTTTCACAGGTTTTCAGACAGTACAGTGTTTTTGGGATTGTGAATTGGTTGCCACAGAGACGATGTTTTCACGTGGTGGTTTCAGCTCCATCATCAACATTCCCGGAGAGTCGACTCTGAGGCGGGACTTCCTGCGCCTCCAGCTGGCCAATAAGGAGCGGTCGGAGCTGATCCGGCGCCAGCAGCTGGAGCAGCAGCAGAACGAGGAGCACAAGCGCCAACTACTGGCTGAGAGGCAGAAACGCATCGAGGAGCAGAAGGAGCAGCGGCGGCGGCTAGAGGAGGTAGCTTCTCGTTTTTAAAGTCACAATCCGGCTAATAATAGATGTTCCACATAAAAGACTCATAATCCTAACAAGACAAATGAGCCCAATTACAGGTCGCCTGCTGCTATTGTAATTTGTGGGAAGCCGCCTCAGATGTTGGAGAAAGCACACCTGTGTTGTTGGTGGCTCAGCGAATCAGAATGCCTCAGAGACAAACACACAGCTGACCCTGTGAAAACGTTCCCACCCACAGCAGCAGCGCCGGGAGCGGGAGCTGAGGAAGCAGCAGGAGCGGGACCAGAGGAGGCGCTACGAGGAGATGGAGCAGCTCCGGCGGGAGGAGGAGAGGAGGCACGCCGAGAGAGAGCAGGTAGGAGCACACCTAGATGAGAAACCTGAGGAAAAACAGGTCCAAGGCACAAAGATTAGGATTATAATCCACTAAGAGCTGCAAGAAACAGCAGCTCTTAACATTGTGCTGTAGAAAAAAGGTGAAGCACTGGTTAACTTAAATAAGTTTTATAATAAATTTATTTTTCACTGATTAACAGTCTTACAAAAAATTAGAATTAGATCAGAATCTAAATGACTTAATTTTCAGTGCTTAGAAAAATAAAACTTAAAGGAGTTAAAGAAACTGTTAGTAAAATGTAGCTAGATTTTTAAAATTAAGAAGTCATAACAATATAAAAATAATGACACAATGTTACCAGAAGAAAGTCATAAAATGACCAGAAAATCAATAGCAGTTGGTCTGCTGAGGCAGTAGCATTAGCATTTTAGCATTAGCATTTTAGCATTAGCATTTGCATCAGAGTATTACCTTTAGTGTTAAGATTCAAATAATATTGTTAGCATACCTTGAATAATGGTGATGGCTTTATTGTTAGCATACTAGTAATGAAATAACAATGATGAGGGCATTGGTACTACAATGCTAAAAACAGAATTAGCATTTTTACTATTAGCAATTACTGTTAACATTAGGACTCTAATATTGTTAGTGTGCTCTGGCCATTATTGGTGTAGTCTTTTTGATAGCATTAGCATGCTAATGTGAACAGCAGGATGCTAATATTATTGTTGGTATTGCAAAGGTAATATTAGCATCAGCATTAGAATATTAATAGCATGAGGATTCAACTATTAGTGTTAGCATGCTTTGAACAGTAGTAAAATGCCAATGATTGTGTTATTGTTAGCATGCTAACTGTGAGATAAGGATGCTAGCTTTGAGATAAGGATGCTAGCTATGAGATAAGGATGCTAGCATGCTAACTGTGAGATAAGGATACTAGCTATGAGATAAGGATACTAGCTGTGAGATAAGGATGCTAGCTATGAGACAAGGATGCTAGCATGCTAACTGTGAGATAAGGATACTAGCTATGAGATAAGGATGCTAGTATCTCTGGTATTTGAACAGTAAAACCAGCATTATTGATTTTAATAACATTGTGTAACAGAGGTTGGATGTTTTCCTGACAGTTTCTGTCACAAAGTGTTAAACCCAACATGTAACCCCTAACATTCAGTGGATGTTATAACCAATCCTGACTCTAACGATGCTGGAAATTGTTATTGAAGATGTTGCTGAGTCCATTTGTTAAATAACGAGTCTGATTGAGATTCAGACTGCTGTGAACTGCTGTGAGAGGAGAAGGGAACGGAGCTTTTCTGCAGCTATGCGTCATTAACATTCACTATTTCAGATAATAACATCTTCTTCTCAAAGCTGATTTCAGCTTGACTGTTTTATTATGAGCATGCTGCTCTGTTCTCTAATTACAGCGCCCTGCTGCTTCGCTCATTTTATTTTTCATCTGTTTCTGAATAACTCTCTAATTTAACACTCCTTTATAAATCTACTTTTGTCTGCCCTCCTTCTTTCTATTTTTCCCCTCCACTATTTCCTGCTCTGCTGATGTCACTGGTTGCCTGGGGCTCTGATTGGCTGCTGTCCCGCCTGGTCGCTCTCTGATTGGCCGCGCCCGCTGCGTGCTCTGCGCTCTGATTGGCTAGGAGTATATCCGTAGACAGCTGGAGGAGGAGCAGAGGCAGCTGGAGATCCTGCAGCAGCAGCTCCTGCAGGAGCAAGCCTTACTGCTGGTAACACAACATCCAGACACACACGGCTGGTTCTGAGGCCCGACCCGCCAGCACCGGTTCTGCTGTTCAGTTCTGGTGCTGTAACCTGCAGGAAGGGACATTCAGAGCGGTGGAGGCCAAACTTAGTGCCCTGGGGCCAAAACTGGTCAAATTCATTCAATAAAACTGCAAAAATGATAATTCTTCTACCTGCTCATCAATAAACCAATATTTAATTAAACCTGTAAATCATTAAAGATCCAAAACATACAGAGGGATTTGTATTTGTATAAAAAAGAAAAGCAGACTACTTATATTTTCCATTTTGCTCAAAGTGACTGTGTTTGTGGGCCGAATGAAATCATTTCAAGGGCCACAAATGGCCCCCGACCCACATTTGGACACCCCTGCTCTGCAGTTCTGAACTCGTCCTAATATAAATAAATCTGAAGTGTCACATATGACTCAGTAAGTAATAACCTGTAAAACTATAACAGGATTAATTACTGACATATTTTATGAACAGGAAGTGAATCCAAACGGTTTTCCTTGAATCTCCAGTTTTGTTTAACAATAAACACTTTTGAATCCGTCACAAGCTTCTGGTTTATTTCTGACTGGATATTTAATCGCTCTAGTTGGTAGAACTGGTGAAGTTAATTTAAATTGGTTGGTTTTACTGATAACAGAAATTATTTAAAGTTTAATAACGTCACATCTAAAGGTCATTACTCCAGAAGCTAAATGTTCGCCTGCTTTGTTCATTCATATTGGATTTTGACCACTTTTAACTTTGAAAGAAATTCACAGTAATTCTCCTTTATTTTAAAATCAAACAGCCCCACAGCATTTAGCTGCCACCACCGTGCTTCAGTGTTGGTATAATGTTCTTAGGTCTGAAAGTGTCACCTTGGCTAACATTCGGCCCAGTAATGATTATTTTAATCTCCAGATTAGAGTTGATTCTTTATGTGCAACTAAATCATATCTGATTGTTTCCAAAGCAATCTGAACCGTCACGTCGCATTTTATCCAATTTTTACGTCATTTAAAAAAGACGAGCGTCAGACCAGAGACATTAAATCCAGACGTAAATAATACCTGAAACTAGCTGTTAGCTTTCCTTTTGTTAGCTTCCTTTGTCTTGTAATGATTTGGTTACAATAATATCTGAATAACTTCAGATTAATCCATTATTGATGTCATAAACAGAGCGCTGCTGTGTGACGTCAGCGTTTACACAGAAGTCCGATCGCGGTCGCATTTAATTAAAAAATTTAATTAAAAAATATTATTTAAAATTGTAAAATATGCTAGATGTAAGAATAATTCTAAAAATGTACAGAATATTGAAAAAACAAACACTTTGACTGTTTGGGGCGTTTTCTGTGAATTCATTTCAGTAAAACCTGCCAAACGTGACGCTAAGCTAAACACCAAACGTCTTTTCAAGCTGATCAGATCCTCCAGGACTTCAGGATTTTCTGATTCATGCATCTATATTAGAAATATTTAATATGTTAGCTTTGGTATAATGATAAATAGGATGTTGAGGCAGCAGTGGAGTGGAAGTAACAAATACTCCCACCTGCATGTGGGAGTTAGCATCACATCATTTTTATGAGAAATTTGCAATAAATGCAGAAAAAAGTGAGAATCTGTTGATTGTTTTTGTGAATTTCTGCAAGTAAACTGGAGGGACTGATTGATGTAATGTGGTTCACAGACTGAAACTGTTTAGATTTGGTTTATAAAATAATAAGAGCACAACAGTTAACCTGTTTAAGATAATAAAAAGCAACACCTCCTGTCGCCTCTTTCCGTCTGCAGGAGTACAAGAGGAAGCAGATCGAGGAGCAGCGGCAGGCGGAGCGGCTGCAGCGGCAGCTGCAGCAGGAGCGCGCCTACCTGGTGTCGCTGCAGCAGCAGCAGCAGGAGCCGCCGCGGCCGCCGCAGGACAAGAAGCAGCTGTACCACTACAAGGACCAGGCGCCGGGCAGCAACGACAAGCCGGCCTGGGCCAAAGAGGTAACCTGCAGGGGGCCGGGGGGCCGCTGGGGGGCCATCAGGGCCTGGAGCCCTTCACTCTGAGGCCAGGACAGAAAACAGGGGCGTCCTGTGAAACTATATTTGGAGATGACTTGATCAGCTTAGAGAAGAATATTTGAAATATTTAATGTTTTAATGAGAAACAACCTTAAAAAACGGCTTCATGTTCCTGTGACTTGACTTTCCTCCTGTGATTCAGCGTTTCTGTTTTCCAGCAGTTTGTTGAGTAGACAAAGAGAAGAGCTGGAAACATTTAAATTGTTTTTAATCCACAGCTCCAGAGGAACCTGGACTCAGTTTTTGGTTGATTTTCTTCCCTTCAGGCGGTAACAGTGACGAACCAAACGCTTCTTTATTCCTTTATTTTCCTCTTTACAGATGAATTTAAAGAGCTCCAGTCTGCTTGGTGGGAAACTCCAATAAACATGTTTCTCTGCAGATCAAACACTTAGAAAGTGGCATTTTGAATTAGCAGAGGGATGAATGAAGCAAAACTCCTCAGCTTTATTTGGATTTGGTTCCGTTCGATGTGACAGACTTTAACTGATTCCTGATTCACTATAAAGAGAGAAAAACAGATTCTTTCCATCTTCTATCTTCTTTCCTTTGAAGGAAGAAAACAGAAAGAAGGAATTTTCCTAAGAACTTTGTTTTGACCAAATCTAAGAAAACAACATTTTGATTTGTTGAAGAAGTGATTGTTTTTAAAATGTTTGTGGAATATATTGAACAACTGACTTTATAAATGGATTTTCCAGCAGAATGATAAAATTAAAAAGTGAATTTAACTAAAATGTTTCAGGAACGTCGGCCTTTTCAATATCGGAAAGTTTTCTTTGTTTCCATGTTTTAATTAAAATAAGGCTGAATGGATGAATTTCAGGTAAAAACAGTTAAACTCTGATTTCCGCCTCAGCAGTGGACGCCCTGGGTTTTAAAGTCACCCCTGACCTTTGACCCCAGTGCCTTCCTGTAAACTGGCTGCCCTCCAGGTGATGCGCCGCGCTCAGAGCAACTCGCCTCGCATCCCGCCCAAGAAGTACCACTCCTTCAGGGAGACGCGGGACGTCAACATGGACAACCTGCTGCTGTTGCCGGGTTACCGGCCGCCCAGGCCCCGCCCCCCGTCCTATCCGGCCCACGTCAGCCCGTCCAGGGACCACCTGAACCAGCCCAGGATCCGGATCACCTGCCTGCCCGAGCCGGAGCCAGCCATGCGGCGCCAGAGTCCCGGCAGGAGCCCCGTGAGGCAGCCGGACTCCCGGGGTCGGAGCCCCGCCCGCCGGGTCAGTCTGGAGCCGAACAGAACCGTCCACTGGTCCTGACGGGCCCCATCGGACCCTATCGGACCCTAACCCCATTAACCGCCTCGTTTCTCTAACCAGGTCTACTCACATCCTCTAACTCTGGCCGCTGTGGCTCACATGGTGATTTTTGTAACTTAAAAACTTCTGGATTCTCTGTCTGACTTTTCCTCAGCAAAACCTCGGATCTTCGGTAATCTCTTCGTTCAGGGTGGTTTCAAAGGGACCTATTATGCAAAATGCACATTTTGAACGTTTTTAGTCTTTAATTTAAGTTTCTGCTGCTCCTAAAAACGACAAAAGACCTTAAAAAACCAACCAGCTGTTTTCGGCAGTAGGTTCATATTTTTTGGTGTTTTTAAAATGAGCCGTTTCAAAAAGTCCCAGAAGCGTCACATTCCACTGTGCCGTTACCTAGCAACCCCAGCGGAACTCTGCCGTTACCTAGCAACCCCAGAGTAACTCTGCTGTTATCTAGCAACGCAAGCTGAACTCTGTTTGGTCAGCTGGTTTTACTGCTGTCTGCGCTGTACAATGGCTGCTGGAGAAAAACAGTGTTTTGTTGTTGACTCACCATCCAGAAACCACTTGCTGGATTCTTGATGGTTGTGCAGGAGGCTCCATTTCTGTTTTTCAAAGCTGTATGTTTGCATAATTGCCCACCTGTTTTCAGTCTTTTTAACATGAGAGTGTAAACGTTGAGTTGGGGGCGCGGCCAGCAGCAGAGACCGTTAAGCAGCTCATTCTGACAGGAGATCAGGACTAAAATCTCATTATCTAAGAATGATTTTGAGGGAAAAAATGTGCTGACATGTTTTGTATCGACCACAGACCGATCCTAACTGGTTCAACGAAGCATAATAGGTCACCTTTAAGGATGTTTTGGTGAAGAATATGGGATTTGTTCAGTCTTTGGGTGACTGCAGTGATTCGTCTCCATTCATGGACATAAAACTAAATGTTTATTAGTTTATAAATTGGTCCAACGTCCTTCAAAGCACCAGAAGTCAGATTAAGACTGAAAACATTTTATTTCCTCCTCAAACCTTCTAACCTTCTTTTTTTTTCTGCTCACTGGATTCTTCATCTTCCACTAAAATGGGCCTAAAGGTGTTTTAATGCATGATGTTTGTTTTAATGTCTAACAGTAACTAACTTCTGCAGCTGATCTCAGTTTTCCTCCTTCAGGGTTCTTCCTCCACTCCAGGGTTCTCTCTGTGTGATGTCTGTTTGTTTAGGTGCTGTCTGTCCATAAAGCAGACAGCTTAGGGAGGATGAACCTCTAAATGGAGGCGACAGCATGTGAAAACCCCATTTAGGGCAGATCTGCAGGCCTGCCCCCTGGTGGCTGTTGCTGGACAGATGTAGGGCATCTGCAGCTATTTTCAGCTGGTCTCAGTGTAGGAAGGTCTACCCTCATCACTGCCTCACAGGGAGGGAAACTTTCCACAGAAACTGAGCTCAGTTTAGGAGGAAGTTTATTTATTTATGCTGGAAAACAATCTGGCCTCCAAACTGATTCAGTTTTCACACCTAGAAAGTGAAAGACATTCATATTCTTCATGTTTTTTATATGAATAAACTCATAAACTAGCTGAGAAAATAAGAGGTAAACCTAGTAAAACATGCTAAGCTAACGCCGGCTGAGAGCGGGCGGACATGTTGGCGTGACGCTGAGTGACGGCGGTCTGCTGTTCGTCAGGTGGAGGAGCTTTATAAGATGAACAGACAGGATTCTCCTGCGTTGCAGCATAAAGTCTCCAACCGGATCTCCGACCCGGCCCTGCCCCCCCGATCCGAGTCCTTCAGCAGCGGAGGGATCCAGCAGGCCAGGACGCCGCCCATGCACCGCTCCGTAGAGCCACAGGTCAGAGGTCACAGGACACTTTAACTGGATGGATGGATGGATGGATGGATGGATGGATGGATGGATGG